CGCCCCCGCCCACCTCCCTCCGGCTGATGTCACAAATGGGATTTGAATGGCCCGCGCGCCCCGCCCCGCCTCTTTCCGGACCGCCGCACATGAATATGCGGATGAGGTTTGTTTAAGCCGCGCGCCGGACGCCAGCAGCGCCTCTATCGCGCTGGAGCATCGCCTGGTCACAACCGGGAGCACCTGTTTCCAGACACGCCCCCCTGGCAAACAACAACAAAAATATTTCACGGACTTCTATTTTGTTTCACTGGTTTCAGAAAGTTGTGTATCCTTTACAAAAAGCAACAGCGATGTGTAGAAAAAGCACCGTTTTGAAAATATTGTGTGAGTTTCATTCATGGAGACGCGGCAGTGGCGGTGGGGCGTGGACGCCGCGAAACAGCTGAGAGACCTGCTCCCCCACTCCCCTATCCCCCCGCAGTGACTCAGGCGCGGTGGGGCGGGGCGGTGTGCTGGCGGGGCGAGCTGACCTTGGTCGACTGACCGAGACACGAGGCAAGGCCCCCGTGTAAGGCGGTCATCCCCTGGGGTGCCAAATACATTTAAAGAAACGAGACACGCAGAACAATACGAACACGCCGTGTTTCAACCAGCATCCCGCATCATTTTTGAAGTCCCTAAAAAAACTCATTTTCCCCGCCCGCAGAGCTTGACGGCGAGCTGGTGGTGTCGACGGGGCCGCTGTCCACCGGGCCACTGTCCGTGGTGGCCGTGCTGAGCGTGGACCTGTGCCTGGCGGAGAACGGCGGGGTGCACAACACGGCCCGCTTCGAGCTGATGGAGCGGCCCCGGGACGCGCGCCTCGTCGTGCGCCGCGGCCAGGCCTTCGCCCTCGTCCTGGCGCTCAGCAGGCCCTTCCAGCGCCACCGCGACGCCATGAGCTTCATCTTCTCCGTCGTCGGCAAGTACCTGGTACCTGGTCCACCCGACCCACTCTCGCCTCGAGGGGTACTTAACCATAAATTCAAGCATACACAGATTTTTCTAATTTTCTTCATTTTCTCTGATTTTTTCTGGATTTCTTTTCCCTGATTTTTTTCTGATTTTTTGGAGGGTGTCGACCGTTTTTTTGGGAAGTATACCCCTTGCTCTTTTAAAAATCTGACCGTATTGTCTCTATCTGCAGACGCGGGCAAGAACAGTTTCGGCCAGGGCACCCTGGTCGCCGTGCCCCTCCTGGAGAAGATCGCCGACTCCCCGGCCGAGTGGAGCGCCGTCCTGGACGCCACGGACGGCAACTACATCCGCGTGCTGGTCTGTCTCGTTCATTTGAATTTCCCGCGCGAGCCCCCCGGGGGGGCTAACGCGCCGATCGACGGCTGATCGCCCCGGAACCGATTATAGGCGGTCGGTCGATCGAACACCAATCACAATCATTCGATTCGCACTCTACCTCCAGATCACCCCGGCCGTGACGTGCATCGTCGGCGAGTGGAAGATGGACGTGGACACCAAGCTGCAGGGCGACGGCGCGCTCAGCTACTCGCTGCCCGGCGGCATCTTCATCCTCTTCAACCCCTGGTGCCCAGGTCAGAGCGCTAAGCCATTTTCGCAAACGACATCGGAACGACGTCGGTTTTGCCTTTCATAGTACACATGAAACGTGATCGTTTCGAACTCCCACTCCCGTTTCGCACTGGAACGGTCGCTTGTGCTTGCCATTATTTTGTCAAAATTTATACACATGATTTGACCTTTCAAAACGACCATAGGAGATTTTTCTACTTTTTGATAGAAAAAGAAACCAAAAACGCGAATATGTGGGTGCAGCAGCAGCAGTAGCCGTGACCTTGGCGTCAACGGCGCCGGGGTGGGTGCCGCCGTCCACAACGGGATCTCCAGGAATGGAAAGATTGAATATTTTGATACGGCGGCGGCGAGCGGCGGCTGCTCGCGTCTGCTCGCTGAGCGCGTAATGCCTGTGATTTGGCCCAGCAGCTGATCCGGGCGACATCATCTCTCCGCTGTCCGCGACGGGTTGCCGTGTGCCGCCGTGGGCGGGACCGGTAGCCGCGCGTCCTTTGCTAGCCTGACGACGCCCCTCCCCCTTGTCCTTCTCACACGAAAAAAAGATTAGCTATATAGGTAAACCAGCTAAATACGGGATAACTATTATTCAGATATGTAGCCAGAAAAAAAAATAATTTAGCTACTACGCTAAATATTTTTTGGCACAGCTAATTTTTAGCCACAGCTAATTTTTAGCCACAGCTAAAAACTTGCGGTTATCCCATATTTAGCTAATTGGTTGAGCTATACAGCTAATCATTTTTCCCATCCAATCTCTCACCCTCGACCTTGTCCCCCACAGAGGACCAGGTGTACCTCTACGGCGAGGACCTGCGCCAGGAGTACGTGCTGAGCGACTCGGGCCTCATCTACCGCGGCTCCTACAACCGGATCCGGCCCACCGTCTGGAAGTTCGCGCAGTTCGAGCGCGACATCCTGGAGTGCACGCTCTACCTGGCGGCCAGCGTGGGCCGGCTGTCGCCCTCCAGCCGCGCCGACCCCGTCAAGACGGCGCGCGCCCTCTCCGCCGCGGTAAGCCCCAGTCAGCTAAATACGCAATATTACTAATTATTTATCGATTTGCTAAAAATTTAGCTATGCGCCCACAAGTAGCTATGTAGTCAAAAATAGCTATGTTGATAAAAATAGCTGGTTTGATTAGCTACATAGCTAACTTTTTTGTGCATCGGCGACCACCCTTGCCGTGCGTCCAAGTCACCAACCTGCTGCAAGATCGTCAATAAATAGCGTCATGCACGGACTTCCCTCCGAGTTGTCGCAAGGAGGAAAGCGCACATCCCTCCTCGCGATACGCGGTCCTGCCTGCTCACTCTTGAATTTCGAATGCCGAAGGTCAACTCCCCGGACGACAACGGCGCCGTGATGGGCAACTGGACGAGCGAGTTCGAGGGCGGCACCCCGCCCACCAAGTGGGTGGGCTCCATGAAGATCCTGCAGACGTTCCACAAGACGCACAAGCCCGTCAAGTACGGCCAGTGCTGGGTGTTCTCCGGCGTACTCGGCACTCGTAAGAACAACTTTTCTTTAAAAATAAAAAAAATCTGTATCTGTACTAAACTTTTTGTTTCACTCTTTAAATTGCCATAAAATAAGGTACTATCGTTTGTTTGTGCAGTGTGCAGAGCGCTGGGCATCCCCTGCCGCGTGATCACGTGCTACGCCAGCGCCCACGACACGCAAAACAGCCTCACGGTGGACTATTTCGTCAACGACGCCGGCAAGGTCATGGAGGAGCTCAACAGCGACTCCATCTGGTGAGCGAACGGCGAATAGAGTATCCAAGACTATTGCTGCTGCTGGTGGTCTTTGTGGACCTCCAGCGGGCGCGCACGGAAAAAATGATAAGCTGTGAAGCGAAACCAATAACCAATGTAGCTAAATAAGGGATAACTAATTATTTAGCTATGTAGCTAAAAATGTAACTATGTTTGGCTACACAGCTGAATTTTAAGCTACGTACCAAATTTGTTTGCTATATAGCTAAATTTTAAGCAACATTTTTAGCTCTATAGCTAATTTTTGCGACATAGTTAAATGTTTACCTACACAGGAAAATGATTAGTTATCCACTATTTAGCTTAGCTAAATGTATTGTTGAGCTAACTCTTTTATTTTTTTCGCGCCGGGTGGGCGGAGTTCTCAATCAATTTTCCCTGTTGTTGTTTGTCCCGCTGCTATAATATAATTGACGCGGCCCGATGTCTCCGCAGGAACTTCCACGTCTGGAACGAGGTCTGGATGCAGCGGCCGGACCTGGAGCCGGCGCCGCAGTACGCCGGATGGCAGGTAATCCGTCAGGCCCACGCACTTCACGTCCACCACGCGCGCGGAGCGGCGTCCCGCTGCGCAGGGCCGCGTCGGCGGCCGAGTCGACAAGTTCGGCGGGTCGTTACCTCATCGCGAAGCAAAACAATCAACCCGAAATTTTCAAAAGAGCCAATTTTTGATTTGAAAAAAGAAAAGAAGGATTCTTTTTATTTATGAATGAAAATGCTGAATGCGCAGGATTGCATTGTCGGTAATTTCAATTTCTCATCCGCGAAATCCCACGCAGGTGATCGACTCGACGCCGCAGGAGCTGAGCGACGATATGTACCGCTGCGGCCCGGCCTCCGTGGCGGCCGTCAAGCGCGGCGAGGTGCTCCGGCCCTACGACGCCAACTTCGTGTACGCCGAGGTGAACGCCGACAAGGTGTTCTGGAAGTACGCCGGCCCCACTCAGCCGCTCAAGCTCCTGCGCAAGGATACCCTCGGCATCGGGCTGCTCATCAGCACCAAGGCGGTGGGTCGCTGGACCCGCGAGGACGTCACGCACACCTACAAGTACCCCGAGAGTGAGTACGCGAAGCGAGGGGTTCCTTACTAAGCGTACATCAGTTTTTCTGTTTTACTTGACTTTTTTGATTTTTACCGATTTTACTGATTTTTTTTTATTGATTTTTACGTGACTTATTTTTCAACTGAGTTTTTGGTGGAAGTGCACTATGATAAAGTAATACTTGCATTGAAATCAATGTCGACATACACTCTGTAAACGGTGTCGAATCGATAGCGAAATGATATATGTCGACGCGATATCGTTGCAGAGAGTGACGAGGAGAGGACAACGATGCTGAAGGCGCTGGAGACGAGCGAGTCCTTGTTCAGCCGGTACTACCTCAACGAGGACTTCAACGACCTCAAGTTCGACTTCCAGCTCCGGGACGACATCGTCATCGGCCAGCCCTTCTCGTAAGAAACGCCGCAGACCACGAGCGGACACCGGCGGACACCTTATTTCTATCGCAGTTATAGATGAATGGCAATTCGTCAGTTATTTTTATTGCATTTTTCGCAGTGTGGTGGTGTTGCTGCGGAACCGCAGCCGGCAGGAGGACCACCACGTGACGGTGGTGCTGCGCGTCGACACGGTGCTGTACACGGGCCGCGTCAAGGAGCCCGTCAAGAAGGAGCGCTCCGTGCACACCGTGCCCGCCGGGACAGGTTGGCTAGGAAATTTAAAAAAAAAAAAAAAAAGAAAACCGTCCCCGAGCTACGTGAAAATACTCAGTGTATACACCTTTGAAAAATTATTCTGTTTTCTGACAGAGGAGGAGGTGCGGTTGGACGTGACGTGGGACGAGTACGCGCCGCGCCTCATGGACCAGGCCGCCTTCAACATCGCGTGCCTCGCCACCGTCCACAACACCAACTTCGAGTACTTCGCGCAGGACGACTTCAGAGTCAGGAAGCCCGACATCAAAATTCAGGTGGCGCAGATTTCACTTTTTATCAAATCAAGTGATTTGAAGAGGAACTACTTACTTTGTGAAGTACTAAATGTCTGACCCTTGCCTCCTCAGCTGGAGAGCGAGCCGATCACGGACCGGGAGCTGTTGGCGTCCGCCACCCTGGTCAACCCGCTCCCCGTGCCCCTCAAGCGAGCCCAGTTCATCATCGAGGGCCCCGGCGTGGACAAGCAGCTCAAGATCGACATGGCACAGTGAGTACAGTCCACACTAAGACGTACCTGACACGGTGGGGGGACCAGCCGGCTGATTCTGTAATACGCGTCGTGTTCCTCCAGGTCCATCCCCCCGAACGGCGCGGCCACCGTGTCCTTCCGCATGGTGCCCAGGGTGCCCGGCAAGGCCACCATCGCCGCCAAGTTCGTGTCCAAGCCCCTCGACGACGTTGACGGCTTCCTCGAGTTCATGGTCTCGCTCAACCCGGACACGCTCGCCTGAAAACCTCGCGCCTCTCCCTGCTGCTGTGTTTTTCTCACGCACTGGGAGGTGGAGGAGGCGGAAGGTGGCGATGCCAGAAGACACAACGAAGATACTGGACGGTGAAGACGGAAGGTGACGCTAGACACTCAAATATACTGCAGCCATTTTCCTGCCCAACCTTTATTTAAGAGCACTTCGCTATTTGTTGAAAAATAGCACTTTGTAG